AAAAAAAAAAAAAAAAAAAAAAAAAAAAAAAAAAAAAGTGTGTCTTTCAAATTACTAGAACCTGCCATTAAACTTATGATTACAGGAACACCTTATAGGCATAATTGGCTTTTATTAAAGGGCATATAATAAAACTATATCTGTCAATTTTCTTGATGGAAATGGCTAATGATATTTGAAAGCAGGTATCCAGTCACTTTACTGTTTGGTAATATTCAGCCTATCGAATAATTTTAATTAAGGCTTTCTTCTATATCTAGATCACTTCCATTTATTCATCAAATACTTTGTAAGTGCAAAGTAGAAAGTTAATTTTTATGAGGTCATATACAACAGCTCAACTTTAATTTTACACACATCATAATTAGAAATAGGACCTGGAGAGATGGTTCACTGGTTAAAGAGTGCTTGCTGTTCTTCTAGAGGACCCAAGTTCAATTCCCAGAACCCACCTTAGGAGGCTCACATCCATCTGTAACTATCACTTCAGGGAATCCAACACCCCTGGCTTGCTCAGGCACCTGCACTCATGTGTACCCACTCACATAGACACACACACCCATACGTAATTCAAACTAATAAAGATGTATGAAATAGAAAGCCAACACTTGCCTGATATACCATTTATAAAGCATCTTTACATATATTATCTCACAAGTTAATAGTACTGTAAGATAAAAGGACAAATGCATTCAATTTACAGAAAACAGAACTGGAGAGACTTCTATTAAAGTTCATGGTTCCACTACTTAGGACCCCAAACCAGCCACTTAACCATGACATACAATTCCATGAACTGTGAAACAGTTGGAAATAGTACTTCACAGAAGGTGGAATGAGGGCTTAAGCACAGGATCTTTATGCCAGTGCTTGGTGCATTGTAAACACTCATTATTAACTGTGTGGTACCTACCACACAGCTATTACATGGTAAGACTCACACCCAGATTCCAGCCTCCGGACTACTAATCCAGAACTTTTGTCATTCTAGTGACCAATAGACATTATGATCATAAAGATAATTCTCCTTTAAAAAGAAAAAGAGCACTGGAAAAGAAGTGTTTGGATCTCCCAACACAATGAAACAAAAAAACAAAAATGTAACAAGAGAGAAGTGCTAATTATCAGAATTGGGTCACTATACATTGTGTTTATGCATCAAACTATCATCGTGTGGTACCGCAAATTTGTATAATTATTACATGACAACTTAAAATTGTGTTGCATGCAAGATGTCAAGGCCCATGCTTGTCATCCCAACTTTCCAGAAGCTGAAACAGGAAGATGTCAAGTTTGAGGTTAGCCAGAGTTAAACAACCAGTTCTAGGCCAGCCTGGTATAGCCAGATCCTGTCTCAACAAGGATCTCTCTCTCTCTCTCTCTCTCTCTTTCTCTTTCTCTCTCTCCCTCACACAGACACACACATCATTTTATATATATATATATAATATATATATATAATATATATATAATATATATATACACACACACACACACACCAACCCTGGCTGTGTCCATGGAAACCCTTCAGTTAATATTGGTGTTTGCTGATCAAGGTGAAGATGATAATAAGCAGCTATAAGTACTCCCTGTCATCTCTATCAAAATCCCCTCCCACCCCACCCAGGGCTGAAAAGAACAACCATCCAAGAAGACCAGGCTCAAAGAATAGAATATAAACGCCAGAGGATGGAAAGGAGATGTCTTTTCAATATGACATGGTCACTGTACTCGTGAACTCACCACAGCTTTGGTTACCTGCATATGACCAAGCCAATCAAAATGCCAGATGTGGGAGGGTCGCACAAATTTCCACCCCCAACGGAAGAGCTATTAGCAGTCAGTGGCTGCTGGCCATGGGAAATTATTTTCAATTTGGGAGTGTAGCCATTGGTCATTTGTTGGTGCTTCCTTGGGTGGCCTCACACCTGTACACGTGAGGGCAGGCTTAATTGGACTCAGTGGGTTATTCAAACGAGGAGGAGGAGGATAAGAAGGACAAGGAGAAGGGGATATAAGCTGGGTGGGGGACTTGTTGGGAAGGGTCCAGAAGGAGTTAGAGGGAGGAGTGGGAAGTGGATACAATTTTTAAAAATGTATGGAATTTACAAAGAATGAATTTGAAAAATCTTCAAAAGAGAAAAAAATATTGACATTTATAGATTGTAAAGTCTGCCAGGAGAATATTCCTTGCCGAAACAGCAGTAACATGCAAATGCATACCAGTATGTTAGGCTGTTTAAAAAGCCGCATTGGGGAGGTGTAATTCACATAGTCCACAGTTCATCAATTTGATATATGTTATTCAATAGTTTTCCATATGTTCATAGACTTGTACAAACAGCAGTCACCAGGTTCAATTTTAGAAAGTCTTTATCTCAAATTGAAACTGCATGTTCCCCCTGCCCTCTAGTTATGGTAGCCATTAATCTGTGTTTTGTCTTGATTTACATCTTCTGGACATAGTATTTTGTGTCTGGCTCCTTTCACTTACCATAGTATTTTCAGAGCCCATCCTTGCTATGCACAAATCAAGGTTCTTGCTTGCTGGATGGAAATGATGCTTATTTCATGGCTGCTATTTGTAGCTTGTGCCATTCAGGGTCTACCTGTCTTCATTAGTGATGATGAAAGACCTGTTTTGTGGAAATCCCACAGAGCTGTCTGAACGTGCGTCCTTGAATAGTTATGAAAATTGAACAAAGTGATATTAGAGCACCCAGCTGTCATAGTAACGTGTGGTTCAATTAAGCAAGACAGTTGTCTGTGTGCACTAAACAGTGCCTGGCACAGCAGAGTCTCAAGTCTCCTTGTCCCACACGAATATCCAGGGATTGGCAAGAACTTATTAACAATGAAGCAGTGGGTTTCTTAATCTGTAGCTCAGGTTAGCACACATGACAAGCCTCCTGCCTTAGCCTCCTTAGCACTGGATTACAGGTATGAGCCCCTATACCTGCGACAGATAATAGTTTCACTACTGCTTTGAGGCTGAAGTACTGATTCTTCCATCTTTTTGTGTTTTCTCCCTAAGGGTATGCCTTCCTGCTGTTCCAGGAGGAGAGCTCAGTGCAAGCTTTGATAGACGCCTGCCTAGAGGAGGACGGGAAACTGTACCTGTGTGTGTCCAGCCCCACCATCAAGGATAAACCTGTAAGTGACATGTAGGCAGCTGCTGCCTTCCTAGAACACATACGCAGTTGGCTAGCTGTTCCTTGTACTTATCATGGAAATGCTGTAATTAGGAGGCTTTTACCTGGGTGGACCTTGCTGTGTTGAGCTAGGACTGCTACTGGTGATGACAAGTTAACTAAATAGTATGCAAATTTCGTGTTACACCTTTGGGACCACAGGTATATAAATGCATCCTTGACATCCACTTACAGCTTGGTAAGCTAACTCTATTTCGAAACTGAATTGAGGTGAGCAGTGCTCTTAGTGGTTCTGGCAGCTCTTTTCTGTCATTATTTTGCATCAAGGACAACGGAAATTTATTTTTTAAGATTATAATTGGTAGGCTGGAGAGATGGCTTAGAGGTTAAGAGCACTGGCTGTTCTTCCAAAGTTCCTGAGTTCAATTCCCAGCAACCACATGGTGGCTCACAACCATCTATAATGAGATCTGGTGTCCTCTTCTTGCCTGCAAATGCAGGCAGAATACTGCATGAATAATAAATAAATAAATCGTTGGGGAAAAAAAAACATTAAAAAAAGATTATAGTTGGTAATGTTTACATGTCCGTAAATGTTAGGCTTCTGCTGGGTTGTGTCCACAGCTACGTTGTAGGGCTGGGCCAGCAGGTCACACTAAATGGAGGATTTCAGCAGAGCAGGAGAAGGGCAAGACAGAGATTATGGAACTGAAACTATAAACAAATGTGTGCTCAAACAGAGCTTGTGGCTAAGAGCCTGTGACTTCTTAGCTGCAGTAGGTGAGTAGAGAGAGGGCAAGACCATTTTCAAAGCAGAAGAAAAGAATTTAGTTAACTTGGCAATAGTAAGGATCCATGGGGAATTGGTATGGTCAGGATGGGATGTGTTTGTATGCAAAGGCTTGGTCCTTGGGGTGTGAAACAATAAATATAGCGATGTGGCATGGGCAAGAGCCTAGAGCAGCCACTAGAAACCTTCATGCTGGGACTCCCTTGGTTGGCTGAGTAACGTGTCTGTGAAGACTTGGGTTTGAAGTAGAAGTTCTGAGCTTGAGTGTTGACTTTATTATTTAATATTTAAATAGATGCCTGGTTCCAAATAAGCCATCCTGGCCTTGGTGAATAGTGGATTTCTCAACTAGAAAAAGGGAAGAATGGTCGTTCTTCCTTAAGTTTTTGAGAGAAAAATGAAAGTAGACACACTCAGTTGAGAGCGGGTACCTGTGCAGATGTAATTCTCAGGTGTTGTCAGTCCTGGGTAGTGCTGTAGTTCAGGACAGGACAGGTAGAGCTCAGCAGTGCAGCCACACTTGCTGGGAAGAACAGGGTTTCCAACTTGTAAAAGATGCCACTGGGACTTAGCCATCTAAAAAGAGGGGAATTAGAATGTAAGTAGAAGAGGGAATTACTACCGAATGGGATTATTGAGTCATGGCAGAAAGGTTAGTACAAAAAAATAAGAATGTTTAGCTGTTATGAAAGGATCACTGAAGTTGCTGAGTTCTTGGTCCATTACCAAATTTTCATAACAATAATGACAATGTTGAGTACTGTCATTATTGTACAAGTAGGGAAACAGAGGGGAAAAGAGTGGGGAGCCTTTGTTAACTTTGAACTTCATTTAAAAGTTGTGTGCATGGTGTCACAAGGTGCATGAAATACAACATCTGAATAACAATTAAAGCTAAAAATCTCTTAAATCCCTTTGGAGTTGTGTGAGAGTAGAAAGTTCTACCAAATTTGGCAGCGAGATGTCTTCACAGTCAGTCCGCAGGGATGCCTTGCCCCTGGCATTTAGTAAGAGGCATTGAGAGTAAACTAGGAAGGATTATGGTAGAACTGGCCATGCCCTGTCAAAAAGGACCAGAGAGACATCTTATATGTAAACAGGCAAAGGGGTGAGGGACATGATGATGTAGTTGTGTCCACAGTAGAGAACAGCCTGTAGAATTACAATGAGGACATGAGATGAGCTCAGGCTCTATAAAGAAGTGGAGGAGAAGGTATCTTATGGTAGGGCAGCCCTTGCCTGGACAAACATCTCCCGAAAGGGGAGCGAACTGCCGGTTGCAAGTGTACGTGGTATGGAGATGATAATAAGCGCATGGCTTTTTAGTGTTTGTACTCTAGACACATGCATTACTCTGGACTTTAAGGACTTTAAAATAACCATCGTAATCTTCCCTACTGGAAATGTTTGTGGGAAACTAGCTTCCATTGTTACTCTATATTTCTACCTGATCGCAGTTTGCCTTTTCTGAGCTAGAGGCATTGTTCTACTGCAGAGTGATAAATTCTGATGGTGACTATCAAAAACATGTTTCTTTGTTGCAGACACACAGGATACTTTGAATGAAGCACATTTCATGTTAGGTTTCAGAGCCTTTGTCTCCAGTTTTGCAGCCTCTTTCTTAGCATTCGCTTTCCCTCCACTACTCCCAAATTTTTTTAGTCCTACTTGTCTACTGGCCCATACGCATCCCAGCTCATGTGGATGTGCCAGAGAAAGTGACAGCCAGAGCTGGCCTTCCGGAGTCAGTAAGACCTTGGATGTAGGCAAGCTCAGTCTTAGGAGCCCACTCACCAGGTTTTCTCAGCTGTGGCTCCTCTTTGTTCTATGTCTTAGGCTGACTAGCTTTCACCCTTCAGGATCCTAGTGCCCTGACTGTGATATTTAGTTCTTTTTGACTCTATCAGAATAAAAAAATATGGAAATATATCAGGTTCCATAGTTACCTTGAAGATTTTTCTACCCTTTGTCCTGTTTTTCCCCAAATCAAACCCCTCTTCTGGTTAAATGAATCAGGTTATTCAGTTTGTTTTCCTAACACAGAACCTGATAATGAAATCTGCTCTAAACTGTGTTGTCTAGGATCATGCTTGCTTTTTAACTCAAGTGAATCCCAAACCGATGAGTTTTAGGGTATATTACATAGGTGGTTTTTTGTTCAGTAATTTCTTTCTGTTAAATTATTCTGCATGGATTGTTGTATGAATAGCTTTGGACCTGAAAGGTGGCAGAAAGAACTGTGTGTGTTGCCTGATTATTTTGACTCTTTAGTCCCAACGGAAGGAAGGGAAGATTGGCAAGAGCAGGAGTGTGGTAGCTTCAGGTCTGTGACTTCTTTCCTTCCTGCGGAAAGGGAGCTCCACCATTCATCAGCTGAGGCACTCTAGATGACAGTGCTGTCTGTGTGCTCCCCGTAAGACAGGTGGATGCTGTCAGCCGTGGCCCCTCCCAAGAAGGTGACAGAATACAAACAGACTGAACCTGAAGGTTCAAAACAGCAAAGTATAGAGCAGACAACCTGGATGAGCCCCACAAAGACAGATGGTGACAAGAAGGCAAAGGAAATGGTAATAAATGTTGTTTTGTTTTGTTTTGAGACTGGACACCGGGGTCTTACCATGGAACTCTGGCTGACCTAAAGTTGATTTGTAGATCAACCTGACCCCAAGCTCAGAGATCTGCCTGCCTCTGCGTCCCACGTACTGAAACTAAAGACATGCACCACGATGCCTGACCATGAGTCTTGCTTCTAGAATAGACTGGCTAGAGTTATGGGACAGGAAACACCTTGAAAGGAATTTAAACTGTATTACCAAGCTGATGTGTGTTTCTGTAAGTTAGTTTTTGGTAACATGGTCATCCACTTAAAAATGGAAAAAAAAAAAAAACCAATGAAAAGAATGATAGAGACAGAGAGCTGGAATTAGATGCTGCTCACTGTTTCAGTTCACTTTTAAAAATAGTTTTTAGTCAATTAATTTTATGTGAGCATGTATATATGTGGGGGGGGGCACATGTGAAGGTCAGAGGACGACTTTGTGGAATTGGCTCTCTTCTTTCACCATGTCAGTCCTGGGAGTAGAACTCAGACTGTCAGGGTTGGTGGTTCAGTATCTACCTGCTGAGTCATCTTACTGGTCCATTGTTTCAGTTCTTAATTCTGTCTAGTCTGTCATTGCAGTCTCTTGACCTACTTACATGCCCATCAGTGGAATTCTACCACTTTTAGTCATTCTTCCTTAGTTACAGAAACAGTCCAGATTTTTTTGCCTAGGAGTTAAGAGCTGCCCAGTCTAGCTTCATTTTCCCCCCAACCTTATTTCTTTTTGCTTTTCTTCTTACCTTCATATTTATTTATTTACTTTCCCTTTTCTTCCATGTGTCTGTGCGGAGTGCATGAATGTATGTAGTATGGTTTGATATATGTGTTTATAGGTGTATACATAAGGCGGTATAAGATCAATATTGAAAATCTTTCTTCATCACTCTCCAACTTATTCTTTGAAGCAGGGTTTATCAGTGAAATCCAGTGCTCAACAACAAGGCTAGTCTTGTTAGCCAGCTTACTTAAGGGTCCTCTGTCTCTGATTTCTAAGGCTGGAATTATAGGCAAACTGACATGCCAACCTGGGTTCTAGGGGTCTGAACTCCAGCCCTCTTGATTGTACAGCAAGCCTTTTAATGACCGAGCCATCTCCCCCTTTCCCCTTACATTTTAATCAAACTGAAATATTTTTGCTCTGTCTCAAAGTCAAATTCCTACTTTAACTTCAAATCCTTTCTCAAATGCTATGTATATCGTAAACCTTTCATTGATTATTTTACTGTGTATAACAAATTACACCTAGTATAGCCGTTATCAAAACAAAGAAGTGAACAAGCAAAAACTTTGCAAAAATTAAACCAAGGAAAATGAGTAAAGTGTTATAGGGCACTTGGATTGACTGCCTCATCTTTCTGCTCATGGCAGATCTTCTAAGACCATGTCATTCTCCCTGTACTGCCTACTAAGCCCTAACTTTAATCTTGGCTTGGCTCAGTTAAATCTGGGTATGTAGAGCCATCTTAGAATCCATGGCTAAGTCATGTTGTCATGCCCTACCTAGGAAGCCATTAACATTTTTTACCTTGATTTTGTTATTTGTTCCTTGAATTCTTTCTTTTATTAATTAATTTAATTTACATCTAGGTCATAGGCCCCTCCCTCCTGC